GTGATATAGTTAGATCAAAAGTGGGCAAAACACAGCCTGCAGGCTGGATTTGGTCTGCAGAGGGGTTATATCTGACCCACAGCAGGTCCCTCAGTCCTGCCTGGCCCAGGCATTGTCCCACAGTGGTGTGTCCTGCTGCCCCCTGGGCATGCAGCAGGGCTGGGGCAGTTCTGTGCTAGACTGCCTTTCTAGGCAGTCCAGGTGGCAGCAGCTGCTGGCCCCAGCCCCGTGGTACTGGTGGGGACCCACGCGCAGTCCTGACCCATCCCATGTTTGCTGTAGACTCTCTTGCTCATGCTGAATGGCTGCAGCAACAGCAGCACTGGTGGGGCAGAAGTGTGCTCGGCATGGGGGAAAAGCAGCCTCTTCCCCTCAGCACTGCCTGGCACTTCCTGCAGCAACCATGTGGAGCTCAGGCATGGGGCTGGGAGGGGCTGTGCATGGGTCCCTGCCAGTACTGCGGGGCTGGAACCAGCAGCTACCTAGAAAGGCAGTCCAGTACAGAGCTGCCACAGCCCCGCTGTGTGCCGAGGGGGCGGCAGGACGTGCCATGTGTGGGCCATGCTGAGCAGGCATGGGGGCCGGGTTGGGGCTGTGCCCGTATCTCTGGCTGATCCATTCCTGTTGGGATCAGTTGAGAGCGGCCATGGGACATGCTGGGGTTGTGTGCTGCTGGCAGTGGTGGGGAGGTTCTGCAGGGTGTGTGGGCTTCAGGCTGTTGTAGGGCGGGGGTCAGTGCTGACTGGTTCAGGGGACCGTGTGCATGGGGAGCCTCCCATGCACACCCCACCATACCCAGAACCACACTCTTCCCCCACACACAATCACACACCCCCATGGATCTTTGGGGGGAGTCCTGCTTACTTCTACCTTCTCCCCCCCCCACTTCCCCGCCCCTGCAATAGACACGAGTAAGGCTTCATTTGAAGCTATTATGCAATCACCTGTATATACATGATGCAAATGCACGCAAATCAGGACCAAAACAATCTTTTAAAAATAAAATTAAAATTGTTATTGGGGATGTTAAGATTTTTAGTATATACTTTGGTTTTGCTTTTCCCCATTTCCAAGATGGCAAACCCCCTTCCCAAAAGGAGTACTTCTGGGGCAAGGGCAGGACTTCCTGTGGCAAAGGTCAGGGGTTAGGGGGCTGGACTTCTGGTACCAAGATGGTGACTGGGGATAGAGCACCTGTCATGGGGCAGGGCTACCCATGCAGTCCTCGACAGCTCGCCGAATCTTATTAAGTGGTCCTCCAGCCGAAATAATTGCTCGCCCCTGTGTTAGATTGTCATCTTGACTGCTCCAAGTATGTCACCTTCTTTTATGGTTGGGCCTAGGGATGGATCCAGATGGGGTGCAGTGGCACAGCTGTACCCCACACTTACACCCCATGCCACTGCAGCTTTTACTTTGCAAGGAAGCACCACAGCCAGGGAGAGGTGGGCAGGAATGACTCTGGTGCTTCCTTGTCTCCCCTCAGACAGCAGGGAAAGCAGCAGCAGCAGGTGGGGGAGGGGAGAGAAAGTGCCTCAAAGCAAGAAAAGGAAGGGAGGGGACAGACTTTCAATTGCCTTAAAGACTTTAAAAAGTTCCTGGAGGCTCATTCAGCTAGTTTTACTGCATTGGTACAGGTGGAGAAGGCTGGGAGCAGGGGTGTACCCATCCGTGAAGTGTGGGTTGCTGCTTCCACAGCCCTCTTTGGGAAATCCTGGATCTTCCCTTGTTGGCTAGGGACAGACATTCAAAAAGCCTGAGCCTGAATTGATTCAACTTTTGCAGGTTAGTCTAACCTGGCTAGGCTGAACTGGTTTCTAACCATACAGACAATTGCTCTGGACTGACGAAATTCAGGAACATGCCTGTAGTGGTTCAGGCTGGAAGCCGGGAGGGGGCGCTAGAGCAGACCTCCATGCCCTTCCATAGTGCTAAAATAAGAGGGGCATGGCCAGGCCCCAGCAGGGCTCTGATTAGGAAGGGGTGTGAACCCCCACCCTGCCTGCAGTCCCAGGCTTTTCTCCACTTGCTGCTCAAGAGGTGCAGGTATTGCCAGCCTGGAGCCCTGGGTTAGCACTCTGAGGCAAGTGGGGGGTGTACAGTGCCTGCATCTGTTGATGATACAGAGCTTTTCATTCTCCCTCCCTGCTTCTGTATACAGCAAACTGACAGGCAAGTAAGCTGGGGTGGGGGGCAGGAAAGAAGGAGCTGATAACCATGTTTATCATACTTATCTCAGTGTTTGTTTCCCCATTAACAGTTATCTGTTAATTCAGCACAGACCCAGCATGTGGTCTGCTGGCTAATACACAGACACCTCAGCAAAGGCAAAGGGGAAGGGGAATTTGTGCTTAACAGAGAGTGGTGAGGGGGAGGGAGGGAGCAAACAGCTCTTCTCAAACATTTCCAAGGAAGGACATTAAGCTACCTGTTGAATAGCTCCAAAAAGCCTGTCTGCCTTTGGCTACAGTCCATGGGAGAGACAGTATGTGGTCTGCTAGCTAATCCGGAAGTGTCTACTAAGGCCGGGAGGAGGGAGGAGACTAATTTCTGTTTAGCATGGAGAAGCGAGACAGATGCAGAGGGGAGGGACCAGCCCTGATGTGGAGCAGAGAGCCCCGCACAGCCCAGAGAGAATGCTGGGATGCTGTGGGTGTCTGGTTTATCTTAAACCAGCAAGGGGTCTGGGACAGACATTGCATAAACTGGTTTGAACCAAATCAGTTATGTCTGATACTACATTCAACCAGGTTTATCTCAAACTGGTTTCAGCCATTTTCAAACTGGTTTATGTGCACTGAACATCTGTTCTGTTACAGGTTTAAACAAGTTTCTGATCACTTAAACCAGTTTGTGTAATGTCTGTCCCTAGCCATTGGGCCTATTTACTGTTTGCTGGTTTTGAAGTAGGGTCCCATTTAAGGAGGAAATCCTCTTTCTAAGTCCATGTGGTTTAGCCCTTAGAATAAATCTGCTTTGGGAGAAGATATCTCAGATGTAACATATGACAAATAATTGATTTTTCAGTTCACTAGCTGAACAAAACAAATATGAAAATTTGTTGCAGGTCAGTTGAAACCAAGTTTTCTGTCCCGTTCTGCCCCCCCCCCCCCCCAGTAAAATCAAACAAGCAAACAAACAAACAGAAAATACAGAACACCTGGGAAAATCATTTGATTCAGCAAGGATATTGTATCTCCAAAAAGATAGCTCAGTTCTACTCCTGGGTCACTGATCCACTTATGTCATGAATAATTATTTTGATGTTCTATATACTGAAATAATTTTTAGTTTTGTAAAATAGAAGTGTTTCCTAATCAGCTCAAAAAAGTATTTTGGATTTAATATTTTATACTTGTTTCATCCTATTGTTTCTTTTCACTTACATCTACCTAAGAAAGATTTCCTTGAAAGATAGTCATGCTGGCCTGAAATTTGCCATTAAAGGCATACTAACTTTTAATGGTAAGGGGTAGATAAAGGATGCATCTAGCATTGAGAAGTTAAGAAACCTTACGAATGTCCTACAGATATTAATAGGAGTGATATATTTGGCAAATATCTGTTCACCCTATGCAAAGGAAGGAAAAAAAATGTTTAAATTCTGTATTTCACTGGTGTCACAAGACTGCGAGCTTGCAGATTTTTTTAAACATCTGAATGGAGAAACAGCTGAGCAGTGAATGATTAGCTAATGATTAATAACAATAATTATAATAAATCATTATCTAACAATTATGGAAATCGTAACATGCATGTGCAATGTAACGTAAAGAGAGTCAAAAACTGAATTCCTATAGATATCCACAACACATTTTTTAAAATAAAATAATCTATCCCAGGTGGCTTCTCTAAAATCCTCTGTCACTGGCAATAGTTTTAAACTCTAATTTGGGCAGGGTACATTCAGACTAAGTTGGAGAGTCCCACGGTTTGATTCATTCAGGGCAGAGACTTTGCCCTGAATAGTAGTGGTGCTAGAAAATGATCTCACAAATGCATGCAAGTTTCTTGACTGCATTCGTTTTAATACTGGAAAAAATCAGGAGGACCTGTACCTTGTTTTACTGCTAACTAAGGATATCTAGCCTTGGCATAAATTCAACAGTAAACAAGACTAACTCTTCATTTGTTGTGCTGTGGATCATACCCATTGAACAGGTCATACAGTGTAGTGCAAATTTCTTGACAATAAATATGAAGAACTATTTTTCATTGTTCTTCACTGTGTTTTAAGACATGTTATTCTTATTATCGCCTTGAGTGGATCATATCTTCACTTTAGTTAGGTGTTCTTTTTCAGTATGTGAACATGAATGAGAAATTGGGCTAGGGACAGCAGTTACACATAAACTGGTTTAAGTGTTCAGAAACTGACTTAAACCTGTAACAGAACATAAGTTCAGTGCACATAAACCAGTTTCAAAATGGCTGAACCTAGTTTAAGATTAACCTGGTTGAATGTAGTATCAGACTTAACTGATTTGGGTCAAACCTGTTTATGAAATTCCTGTCCCAGATCCCTTCCTGGTTCAAGTTAAATTAGAGTCCCCCAGCATGCTTTCCAGCCCTGGGCTGGGCTGGGCTGTGCTGTCTGCTCCAGCAGAGAAGAGTTGGCTTTGCCACTCTGTTTTCCATCTGGAGCTGTGAGGGCTGGCTGACAAGGTGGGGGACAGGGGGCCAAGCCTGGCTGGGAATGCAGCCCAGTCTTCCAGGTGGGGGGGAGGGCAGCTGCCCTCCCATGCAAACCCTGGCTGGGGGCTAGGGCAAGGGAGCGGTGTTAAACACCCCTTTCCCTGCTAAAACTTACTGCTGGCTGCAACTGTGGACTACAAATCCCAGAGGCACCTGGAAGCAGGAAGAAGAAGTGATGAACAACCTTGCAGAGTTCTGTTGCTGTGAGTCTGGACTGCAAATCCCAGAGACCTCGGAGGCAGCAGGAAGAGGAAGCAAACACACAGCCCATGTGTGCCAGAGAGCCACATTGTAGTGCCCCCAGCTTCTGGCCTGAGTCACTACATGATGTGGCTGTATTTTCTGAATCAGAGGTAAATGTCTGTTTATTTATGTTTCAGTTTTAATCTCTGCATTTTAGACTAACCTGCAAAGACTAAATTAATTCAGCCTTAGATTTTTTGACTGTCTGTACTTAGCTTTAAGGTCTAGTCTTTACCAGATAAACCATGCTCCAGTCCACAATATATCCATTCAGAATAAAATACTAGAGATATTAATAAAAAAAGAAGTCTGTGTTAAAGTAAATGCCATTCTATATATTTATTCAGAAGTTTATAAGAATGATGCTTTTATTTGTATACATATGTGTCCTCAGCACTTTTTGACTTGGCATTTGAAGTTCAGTAATAATAATAATATGGTGGCTCATGCCATAGTGAGTTTTAAAGTGCAATCATACTGCTTGTAGCAGGCAACTGTCAATCCTCTGAATCACAGTGTACACATAAGAGGTCTAGTCAGATGCCTGATGAATCTGTTTGTGGCTGACAAGCCCAGTTCCAGAGCAACACAGCATGTTACAAGTTTCACAGATCCATATGTTGTCTGAGTTGGAGTCCAAGTTTACAGCATGCTGTTGCTTTCTTGTTTTGCTTCCATCCTCTGGATCAAAGCCACTTCATGCTGAGCTGCACCCAGTGCCAGATGTTCCCTCCAGATCTGGTGGAATTCTGCATGCTCCTCCCAGCTTTTTGTGTTGATGTTGAATGACTTCATATAATTTTTGTATACAAGGTAGTACTGCCGTGAAGTACTTCTTTCTAGAGCTGTGTTGAATCTTGCTTACAGCATACTCTTGAGGATATGGTCTTCTCCCATTCTCTTGATATGGCCATTCCATCATAACCTTCTCTTGATAATGGTTTCTAAATTTGTCAGTCCTGCATGCTCCAGTACCTCTCTGTTTGGCATTTTGTTTTCCCACTTTATTTTCAGGATATTATGCAGACATCTCCTGTGAAAGCTGTTCAGTCTCTTGATGTGCCTAGGAAATGTAGCGCATGTTTCTGAACCATAAAGCAGGGATGACAGTACATAAGCCTCGTAGATTTGCATCTTCACCTTTAGCTGATAGTTTGCTCTTACTTCATACATGTTTATCATAATAGCCCAAAATTCTTAGCTGCTTTTCCGATTCTGTTAGTTCAGTCTGAAGGTCAAGAGTCCTGCTGATCGTAGAACCCAAGTAACAAATACTGTCATAGATTTCATAGACATTAGGGCTGGAAGGGACCTTGCAAGACCATTGGATCCAGCCCCCTGCCCAAGGGGCAGGATGTCAGCTGGGATCAAATGATCCTAGCAAGGTAGACATCCACATGCTTCCTAAAAATGTCCAGAGTAGGTGCTTGAACCACTTCTGGGGGGAGTCTATTCCAGGCTCTGGGGACTCGGACAATAAAGAAGTTTTTCCTTATGTCTAGTCTAAAATGGTCTTCCTGGAGTTTGTGACCATTAGACCTTGTCTTCCCTTGGGGTGCCGTGGTGAACAGATGTTCTCCCAGTTCCTGATGCATATCCCTTATAAAGTTATAGGTTGCCACCAAGTTCCCCCTGAGCCTCTGCATCTCGAGGCTGAAGAGTCCTATGCCTCTCAGCCTCTCCTCATAAGGCGTCTTCTCTTGTCCTCTAATAATGCATGTGGCTCTCCTTTTTAAAGTGCAGAGTCCAGAACTAGATACAGTACTCCTGCTGCGGCCTCAACAATGCTGAGTAAAGCTGGAGGATGACTTCCTATGCCTTGTTTGAGATGCATCGATAGATGTGAGCCAGAGTTTTGTTTGCTTTGCCTATTGGAGCATGACATTGGTGGCTCATGTTCATCTTGTAGTCAATCATGACCCCCAAGTCTCTTTCAGTTATGGTGCTAGTAAGTGTAGTACTGCCTAGCCTATAAGTATGATGTGGATTTTTTTTCCCCACCAAGGTGGAGCACTTTGCATTTCTCAGTGTTGAATGCCATCAGGTTTTGATCTGCCCACCTTGTGAGCCTGTCCAGGTTGGCCTGAATTGCCAGCCTATCCTCTGATGTGACTACATTTCTCCATAATTTGGTGTCATAAGTGAATTTAGCCAGTCCGATTCTGATACCTGAATCCAGATGGTTTGTAAATATAATAAAGAGTACTGATCCAAATACAGAACCCTGGAGGATGCCACTGGTCACCATGTGCTATGTCGACATGATTCCACCGACTATCACTCTCTGGGTCTGACCATGCAGCCAGTTCCCCAGCCATCAGACCGTGAGGTTGCTGAGACTGCAGTTCCCCAGTTTTACCATGAGGACTTCATGGGAGACCAAGTCAAAGGCTTTTTTGAAGTCCAAATAAATTTATATCAACCTCTTCTCCTTTGTCCAGGTTATGCATCATCTGGTCATAGGAAGAAATGAGGTTGGTCAGGCAAGACCTACCCGTAATGAAGCCATGTTGGCTATCTTTCAGAATGTTGCATTCCATTAGCCTGTTGTTAATGGTTTCCTTGATTTTTCTGCCCTCCCCCCCAAAATATCTTACAAGGGATTGAGGTCAAACTGATTGGCCTGTAGTTCCCTGGATCTTCCTTCCTCCCTTTCTTGAGGATGGGTACTATTTTGGCCCTCCTCCAATTTTCAGGAACCTCTCCCAAGTGCCACGAGTTCTCAGATATCCTCACCATTGGCTGCGCTATGATGTCAGCAAGTTCCTTTAGCACTCTTGGGTGCATTCCATCTGGGCCAGCTGATTTGTGGATGTCTAGCCTCTCAAGGTGTTGCCTCATGAGATCTTCACCTTAGTTAAGGACACTGAGAGATTTATCCTCCAGAGTGATGTCAGGTATTTTTTAGATTAATTGCCATCCAGAAGCATGGCTTAGAAAATAAGACCAAGAAATTTTGCCAGGGAAATTCACTGTGGGCAACCAAGGCCACATCATCCACAACCTAAAAATCTCTGAATCATTTTTTTCACTTTGGTTTTAGCTTTAAACTTTGCAGGGTTGAACAAGCCTCTATCTAGTCTGGTTTGAAGATGATGCCATCATTGCTGTCCTTGAAT